AGCTTTTCAAAAGGAACAAATCAGCCTCGAAGATGAAACAAACTGAGCTGAAATAAGAAGGGAAACTTTTCAGAGATCCCCATGATATTATAAAAGGTTGATCTCTACACTTTAGAAATATATTTAAAAAGCACGACGACTGTCATTTTCGCGACGAGATTGAAAACAGAATCAAAATATTAAAATCTAGTATTCATTCTGATGAAGACTTGTTTTTATATGATATTTTTACTTCTAGTGAAATCAATTTAATTTGCAAAACCCTGAAGTCAAATAAAGCAGGCGGACATGAAGGTCTGGTATATATGCAGGAAACTCTGTAATCTACCATATACAGAGTTTATTCAATCTTGTTGTTAAACAAGAATCAATTCATAGAAACCGGAAGCAGGGAATTATAGTAACTCTATATAAAGGTCACGGAAAGCCGAAAGATGATCCTAATAGTTATAGGGAAAAACCCTCTTGCCAGTATTTTTTTAAATGTTTGAAATGGCTATTGCAAAGAGAATTAACAATATAATAGAGTCTGATGTCTTCCCAAACAAGCAGCAGTCAGCATATCAGAAGAATCTATGTAGTATTTGTACTGCGTTTAATTTGCAGGAATGTGTATATTATAATATGGAAAATGGTTCAGATGTATATATGTGCCGTTTTTAGATAGCGCTAAGGCGTTTGATACCGTTTGGCACGACGCTCTACTAGTAAAATTGTATGATATTGGCCTTACTGGTAAAGTGTGGAATAATTTAAATTATATGTACACGGATATACACAGTTCTATAATTTTTAATGGTTTAACCTCCGCACCAGTAAAGATGGAGCGAGGTATCTTACAAGGCGGGGCTCTCTCAGCCAAAATGTACTAAGTTGAAAACTGCGGTAGGGGCGCAATGATAATCGATAAAACTGTAAATTTTCCAACTCAAGCAGACGATATATGTTTGGTTAGTACAAATAATACAAGTCTAAATAAAATATTAACTATTTGTGAATCATGCAGTCGGAAATGGCGATTTTTGTGTTCTGCGTCAAAATGTAAAGTTGTCGTATTTTCAAATAAAAGAATCATAAACATTAACTGTACTGTATGTCTTTATGATAATATATTGCCTGTCGTTTCACAAATTACTCATGTAGGTATCTTATTGAATGATAAGCACAATTCCATTGAAAGAACAAAACAAGCGTGTAAAAAATTAAAAAGTGGTACTATGGCCTTATACGTTCTGGGGCACATCAATGCGCACTAAACCCATTAACTGTTGCTAAAATTGTAAAATTTAAAGTCTACCCGTCTGCGCTTTACGGTTGTGAACTCTGGGTACTTTCAAATACTGAGTTATTGATGTTAGAGAGAGCCTAACATTTTATTGTTAAGTCAATCCAAGGTTTCGAAAAAAGAACATATCAATATCAAAAAGCTTTTGTTTTTAGGCAGGATCAGCAGAATGAAAAGAAGTAACTTAATCAATCTAATTAAAATTATATCTTCACATCGCTCCCGTTTACTGATACGTCGCTTCAACGCGACATATCAGTAAACGGGAGCGATGTGAAGATATAATTTTAATTAGATTGTAACTTGATCTGCAGAGTATTCATTTTGAGGTA